TTGTTAACCTGCCATAAATCAGTTGTCAATCTGAGCTGTAAATAGGTGACCTAATTTTCAAAGAAGCTGAGATAATAACTTTCATCACTGTCAAAGGGAGCTAATAGATACTTCAAACTTCTAAAGTCAGGAAATTCAGGGCTAAATCCTAAGACTTTTATTCTGCCTCAGTAATATCTGACACCAGATGTGGTCCTATTGGTTTAAGTGGAACTACACCTGGCGCAAGCAGCTTGGCATTGTTTAGGCACCTGAATAAGGATTTGGAAGCCTAATTCTGGGAATTTGTTTTCATAAATCTGAAAGTCTGACTTTCATAACTTTGAAATAATCTCTCTTTTCTTCCAGTGATGGTATTGTTATAGCCATGGAGGCCCAAGGAGGTAAGAGAGGCTGGGCTTTGTAGGGACAAGATCTTCTAGTGGAGCAACAGATAAAGTTGGTTTAGTAGTGTTGCCCCTCTCCCTATGTACCTCACTTGTCTCCTCCACATCACTTACTGTTCATGCTCATCTAGGGCTTTATTCTGTTCTGACACAAGCTTCATGACAGAGTAATGGTACTGGTTACAGTGCAGCTACGACAAATATACACCAAAAAAAAAAAAAAAAAAAAAAAAAGAGCTCAGAGTTGCTTTCACATCCCCAGTCCAGGAAATTCTCTCAAGCAGAATTTCACCTCCTTCTTATTGCAAAAGTAATACAACATGAACTGTATTTACTATGTGCAAATACAATTCTTACATCCTTTTTAAATAAACCTTCCCTTGAATTTTAAAGGAATCAGCATTTCTGGATTTTAGTCTATTAAAATGTTCTGAGCTTTGAATGTTCAGAAATCAAGTACTCAATAAGAAAGGTCCAAAAAATGAAAGCAAAAGTGTTAGCAAGATGGTGTCAACTTATCAGAAATAAGCAACCGGCACACTTAGCAGAAATCCATAAAGTAGAATAGAAACTAAAATAAAAATCTCAGTCAGTGAAGGAAATGTGATTGTTTTCCAAAATATGTTGACTCTTGACAATTTCTGAATTGTGATCACAGCAAGGATGCTAAGCTCCACCACAACCCCAGGATACCTTTGAGTTCCTCATTGATACTTGCTTCAGCACTATTCATTTTTCAGTGCTGGCTTTCATTTCTTGTTCTTCGTGGACCAAGCTCTGAGGTGAATCATATGGGTTTTCTCTTGGAAAACCTAACAACAGTCCTATGTTTAGCTCTCTGTCTCCTCCATTTTCTTCTCACTCATGCTTCAGAAACATATTTTTCTTAGATTAGTCATTGGAGGGTGCTTGACCAAGCCAGCAGCAATTCCTCCCCACCATGCACAATGTGCGCCCTTGCTATGCTGATGACGCTGCGTGCCATGCTGGGAAGCCGCTGCATGTCTGGTGTGCCTGGAGTCACTGTGTGTAATCATGCTGTAAGTATCGAATCAGTCTGTCCGGGAGAGGCAAGGTGTCAAGAAGTTTAATGCGGTTTCTTCCAACCAGGCTTCGTACCTTGATGCGGCAAAGATGGGAAAGAGGTCGTGGGGGCTCTGAAAGACAGGCAGGTCAGAAACATGAGCACAACAGGTTTAAACTTGAGAGGGACAGCTTGGCTTTGCCAGGATGGTGGCAAGAGGAAAATGGGAGAAGGAAGAATGAAAAAGGGGGGCTTTTCTCTAATGGAGGGATGATGCATCTGGCATTGGTGGCAGCTCATCTATTCTGAGGCATGGCATAAGGAAGGAAGTGGGGCTGGCAGATGGAGTGCTGTACCCCACCTCAGCCTTAGCAATGGGCTTTCTAGGAGGATTTAAACAAGCCACTTCACAGTACTCAGTCTTCCCACAGAAAATAAATATACTATGTACCAAATTTAGCTTGGTGCCAGAAAACTAATTCTGGTAATGTCTATGAAAGACTTGGGATCCTGAGAGAAAGGATGTTTAGGAGAGCAGAATATTAGTAAAGTCTTTAAAGGCCACTGGGGCCTGCTGGGCTGCTGTGGAGATAGTCAGGCTGCCCACCTGCCCAGATCTAACTGCACCCCAGGTGCAGACAAATGGGTCTTCCTGCACTGGCAATGCTCATTCCCAGTGGGTCAGATGCACAGCTGCTGTACATTTAACATCACAGAGTCAGTGACACCCCAGCAATTTCTAGTGCCTCATACCTGGTCCAAAATGTAATTCAGTCTCAGCAGGGAAAACCTATCAAGTTTAAGGGATGAATACTCAGAGGAGATGGTGACTGAGGTTTTGAGTCCGATAGTGGGACTATTTGTGCCAGAGTCTCTCCTGGTTGACCATACCTGCTTTTTCTTTAATTACAGCCCAGTCCTCATAGCTGTCGATATGCTCCTTGAGCCGGGAACAGAGCTGCACATTACCCACATAATCCAGGAGAACATCAATGATTGGCCCGGCCCAGCGACTCATCTCTGGAGTAGACACCATTTCACAAAACTTCAAGGAAAAACAGATTGACTACAGTCAGTGGGACATGAATACACCCGTGGAAACTGCAACAACAGCAACAGTCCCGACTGCGTTGGTGATCCCACCCTTCTACCAGCTGTGAGAGCAATTACCAGTTTCCCCTCAGAACTTCAATTAAAGCCTCTTTTGTTGCAACTGAGGGCAGAATCCCCTCTTTACAACCACAGGAGGACACAAACCCCTGGTGGAGTCCTAGCTCTGGAGCATGGGAAGGATGCTGAATTATTTACAGGGTCCAAAAGTCCTACTTCCACAGAAATGGGAGGGCAGAGGAGTGCTCACAGCTTTGTCCCAAACCAGTAAGGGAGCTGTTGAAAGATCCATGCAGCCCAGGGCACCATGACCCAGTGTGCTGGGTCCCTTTCCCTTCTTGGGAGGGGCTCTGTGGGAAAGCTGTGCACAAAGGAGGCTTAGGGAAAATGCACCTCCTACTTCTGGTGAACCCACTGGTATCTGCAGCTTTTTGGGGACCAAACACCTCACTAGAAACAAGTCTGGGGAAATCTCTGCAGAGATGAGTCTCAGGCAGTTTTACTTGCCAATGGGAGAACTATCCTGGGCCTAATACAGAACAGAAGCATCTTCCTTACTCAGTCCTGGATCAGGCAAATCTTCTGTTGCCCCCAGTGTGAGCTGCAGAGTACTCAGAGCCATTGCATGGAGGGTTGCTTATGGAGATACTGAAGAACAGACTTAAGGACCTGACTTTAAGCAGTCTCATTTCAAAAAAGTAGTGACTTTTCTTCCTACTTTAATGTAAATATGTATATTATACCAGATAGCTTCATCTATCTGTTAGGGTGCTATATATGATGAAGATATCTGTGGACTTATCTGCATGTGAGCAGTCAGAAAATTTAAGATTAATTAAATCACACTGTGTGGATAAGAACTCAGGCACATGGCCGAACCCAATTTAATGATAGTGGCTTAAGCACCATCCATCAGCTTAGTCACTGAGACTGTCTGCAGGCACCCTCCAAGATGACCCCAAAGAGGAAAGAAAATGCACCAGCTTAAACCTCTTTCAGTTTAAGCTCCTGTAGCTAGATCACATTTGTTTATACGTTCATGAGCCCTAACTCAAAATGCATTAAACTCTTGCATGGATACTCTTATTCGGAAATAAAATTATATCAGCTCACCTAGGAAAGAACAAAGCTGCAGAAAATTATAAGGCCATTTTATTCAAGGTGAGAGCATTCACAGAGGTGTTTTCTACTCTTCTGACTTTTTTTTTCCGCTGAGAATCACCACGTAATGTTTCCCAGGAAAATTAGATACAGTAATGTTGGGAGTATCCCAGTGGGACAACCCACAGTTTCCTACCTGGACCACTTATAGGAAGTTCAGTTTAGTGTATCTGGCTGTCATTCTCCAGTGCATATGCAACTGCCACCCAGTTACCCATAGGATGTGCAAAGTGGGGATCTGCACTACCGCCTCCAAGCAGTAACGCCACTTTGTCAGAGTTTAAATGAGGACACATGCGTAGGGCAATAAAATACTCGATCTTACGGCTTTCCTCTTCTTGTCTCCACCAAAGACCTTGCCTGCCTTTTTCTCTCTTCCCTATTCACAAGCTCAGCCTACAAAAATGTTTTCTGGAATAAAAATGTCCCAAAACATGTTTCAGGAAAAGAAGCACAGCGAAACAAAGCAAAACAATGCAAACCTGCAACTACAGCCCATGGGACTGACTCAGGGACAAACTGACTCTGGGCCTGGGACATACTTTGCCTGCAGTCTCGGTAGGCCCCTGAATGCCCTCTCGCGGCCGTACGATACTTCACTCCCCACATTCACGGTTTTGACACTGCAATTCTGGAAATGTGGAGTGAGGCAGCAACCATTTTTTTGCATTCTCTTTCTCCAGGACACATTAATTTAGTAGCAACAGTAATGATCTATAGTTACTCATTTTTCAAATCCACTTCCAGTAGCTCATAGTCTTTACTGTATAAAGACTAATCATTCAGATTTGTTATCCTTCCTAATCTTATACAAGAAAATAAAAAGTGCACATCTTTTGCGTGGAGAAGGCTATAGTTTCATAAGATCCTCAATACGTCAGAATACAAACCATATCGCAGCTACATCATGAAGCTATACCATACAGGCCTTACTTTTATTAGGCAAATTCCCAGCAGTAAGAAGCAAATTTAAAGTAATATCAGAGGGAAGGGATTGCTTTTTCTCTGTATGCGTTTGTCCCTCACCGGTCGCTCTCTAGGCACAGATACAATTTTACACAGCTTTTGCTATCTCTGCCTCATGTGGTCTGACCTTTGAGGTGATGACTCTGTTTGTGAGTGACCTAATATTTTGTTAGGCACTAGAAGTAGTTTTAGGTGAGATCCAGAGGGAAATAATGTGCTTAAATAAGCAAAACCAGAACAGTTTTTGAGTGGCTAGAATATAATAGAGGGCTACCGACAAACCCTCTCTCCTTGCCTTGGAATTCCAGCCCTCTGTTCACTCTACATGCTACCATATCATGGTTCAAGAACTAGAGGTGATATATTTTATTAATTTTACTTTGACAAAAATGTGGTGTCCTGGAGCAATTTTACTGTGACAAACACTCTCAAGAAGACGACAGCTCTGTTTGGGATAAGAGATTATTTTGATGGTTTTTTACAAACCTTTTTCTAGGATTTCTTTTTTTTGTTTGTTTCCCAGACATGTTACTGGAGAGTAAAGTCTTTTGGAAGACAGGACTGATAACAAGGTCAAGATTTCCTAGGATCTTTTAATGGTTTCCTTTATTCTTTCCACCACCAAGCAGCATTTACAGGTGACCATCTCTTTGCGCTAAATGACACTTTCTTCTGAATCTCTCAAAGCTACTCCTAAACTAGACAGAAGCTGATTTATTTCTTCCTTGATTCTCTGCAAAATAGAAAGACTGTGGTGCTCCGATTTCTTTATTGTGTTGCATGTTGAAGCCCCTCTCCAGGGCTGCTTATCCAGTAGACTTGGAAATTGCAAGTATTTACATTCATTAGTTTACCCTCATGAAGTGAAGCACGAGACAATTTTAATTTAACTGGGAGCTTAAATTCCCTATCAGACAAAACAAATCTTACAGGGCAAATAAAACAAGCAGGTTTATACTGCCCATATACTACTGCCCATATGCTACCACCCATATGACACTGCCGGTCAGGAAAACATGCTTCACTCCTGGCACCTCAGGTTCAGAGGAAAAGCATATTTGTAGATCTGACTGCAAGGCTGTCAAGATGGCTATAATCCCCTGCAAATTCAAGCTAGGGCCACAGCGGTTGTTGCCTACCATCCTGCTCTCATTGAATATGGACTTGGAACATTCACAGACTCTTACTGAACTTTTTTTCCTGTAAATAAAGGCATCTTCTCTCATAGGAAAGTTGGGAGAAAAAAATACATTCAAGTTGTCAAGATACATGGGTAGGAGACATCCTCAGAGCTACTGTAGGTAGACTAGGCAGTGCTTACCTGTACTATGGTTGGCTCCTTGGGCAGCTGAGGATCATTAAGTCTGTCCCGTCTGTAATTTAATGCAGGATGTGGGCCGTTTCCATACCGACACTCAAAACAGGAACCTGCATCACAGCCCAAATCGAGGAGATACTTCAGCACGGAAAGGTACTTCATTGAAAACATGATGGTAGCTGGAAATGCGGTGGGATGGCTTGATATATAAGCATCGATGTTTGCTCCATGGTCAAGGAGCAGTTTCATGGTCTTCAGGCAGCCATGGCGGATGGAGATGAGTAATGGGTTGATGAGGTCAACATTGGGGTTGGCTCCAGCTTGCAGCAGGAGTTCTGTGGCATAGATGTTGTTGTTAAAAACAGCAAAATAGAGGGGGGTGGTGCGTCTGTCCTCGTAAAGGCAGGACCGTTCGTTGGAGAGGGTGGTGTTGACATCGTAGCCAGCATCAATCAGCTCTTCCAAGATGTCATCATTGTTGCGTTCGGCTGCTAAGTGCAGGGGGCTGATGCCGCTGCGCTTGACACGGGTGCGGCTGGTCACAGGGATCAGCATGGAGACAATCCTGCCAGGTGGAGAGTCAGTGAACATACCAGATCATGGGGAGCCAAAAACACAATTAGAAAAGGGGAGAAAAAGAAATAAAAATATTTCCAGGTTGGGTTCCAAGCTTTAGCCCAGGGAGAAAAAAGGTACAGCCAAGTCCTAAACCCCAGTAATCAGGGATTGCTATTGGATAGTGTGGTGTGGCCTTAAACACAGCAACATAAATCAAGCTGCTCTCGTTATATAATGTGAAATTCAAACAGTCACAAATCCATGATCATTTTTATGTTTCCATAGGTGTCATTGGAGCTACCTGACCAGCCCCATGGGTTAAACCCTCATTTCCTGCTCATAATGTTGGGTGGTTTAGCCAAGGCACTAGATTGATTCTGTAAATACAGACAAATCACCTTAAGCTACTTCCAGAAAGAGACTAGGGACCATCCAACCTGAGTCTGCCTACTGTCTCAGGAGATGCCCATGCTCCCTATATAATGCCTGTGGAGAGAGGGATATCTAAAAAGGGAATTTGTGGGACCCAGTAAGCCAAGCACACCTTCTCCTCCTCTTCTTCCTTCCATGTAGACTCCTCTATCTAGCAGTCAAAAGTCCTTCTAACACAAAAACATGCAAAGCTCAGTTTCCTACCATGTAGTGTGTCTCCTTTAAAATGCTGCATGTCTTCAGCTTGACTACAATGGCTAGTCCCAACACTGGGCCCCCAAACATATATTTACATAATGAACTAAGCCAAATATAAGTGCTAGTCTCAGGAAACCCTTTGTCTGTGATGCACTGAATGATCCTGTGAAGGACTGAGCCTCCAACGCTCCCAGGAGCTGAAATAAGAGTTGAAGATGCATAACACTTTACAGGATTATGTTCCTATTTACATGATGGACTGCTGATGTCTCCAAGTTACTTCTACCTCTCATTTTTAAACAAAAAAGCTTTTTAAATTATGTAAATATCTTGGGAAATTAAGTGCAGGGTTTTTTTCTCCAAGCAGCCTCACTAGTCTTCCAGCTCTGTGACGCTCACCAGGGAGCAGGAGGTTTGGGTGCTGGCGAGCTGGCAACTTCTCACCATTAGCAAATGTTCTGTAAGAGCCATAATAACAAAAAGGGCATAGAGCACTGTGAGGACACCATGCCAAGTGCCAGCATTAGTCATCCCATGATCAACTGTTTTGAAGATTTAAGGGTCTGTTTTGTTCTTTCCCTCCAGCATATGTTCTTCAGCCAGCTCTTCACATCTGAGTTAAAGAGGCACCATGTCATTTCTGTCTGCAAGGGGGACCTGAACCTCACCGCAGGGGTGCCACACTGAGGCTCTGCATCCAAATGCTGCAGGTCCCAGATCTCAGTACACTCCCTGTACCCCAGATTTATTTTGGGAGGAAAAGCAGGAAGCATCAAATTTGTGTTAGAGTTTAATTTTGTAGCTTGAACCTGTTTCTCTTCCTCATCCTCCAAAGTGGGTTGGTTCAGTAATATGATGCCTCCACCTCTGCAGTCTTTCCTGTCTATCTAGAGGGATAAGGCAGCTCAAGTGAAGGCAGCCAAGGCCAGACAAGTCAGACCGCATCCCACTTCTATCACAGGGCTGATCTTCATGTACAGTTTCAAAATAGTGCTGGGTTTCCCCTCATCCCTGACACCTGCTTCTGCAATTTCTATTTGTTAAAAATTATATGGAGGAGGCGGCAGACTATCCTTAGTATGAGTGTGCCAAGAGTTTATTGACTTGCATTAACTTAATAAATCTGCCCACACTTCACAAAGTCTTCCCTTCTCAGCATCTCAGTTCTGTGGGGGAAGGAGTTAAATGACTGCTTGTGATTGTCCTACAACTGATGAGATGACCCTTATGAATTTCAGGTCAGTATTGACAAGGTGTCATTTAAAATAAACAAACACCAAGCCATAGGAGTTGACAGTTGAGCCTTGGGACCACATTCTTGGCTTTTTGATGGTAGGGAGTCTTTGTGCTCTGGCAAAAAGTTGAAGCGTGGAATTCCTGCAGAATTACGTATTAAATTTGCAGGAATACAAAAAGAGGTCACCATGAAGGGTGTTATTTTACTGAATACCAAAGGAATTAAGAATGATCAGCCAATTGGGCTAAAGCTTTGTAATTCAGATAAATATTTATAAGAGAAAATATTTTTCTTTTTTCTTTCTTTTGCACTTAGTTTGCAGGAGTTGTGCACAAAAATTTGTGCTCAGTGTTTTACAAGTGAAGAAACTCAGAGTTTGGGCTGAATTCTGGTCTCATTTATCCTGCTGGTTGTTATAATAGATGTGAGGTCTGAATCAGGCCCTTTCTTTCATGACATGGGGATGGAGTCAGGTTGCAGAGTTTCCATGTAAATTTCTTTTCACGTTGGGGTGTGGAACTATAGAGGGGAGCAAAAGATTCAGAGAGCTGGTCCAGATTCTATATACAAATTGGATTCAGACCAACTTCCTGTACTTTTAGAAGAACTTTTTTGAAAGTGAGCAACTGGAACTGGGTTCTGTCTCTGGCACATTTCTCATCCAAAATATGTTTGTTTTCAAGAAAATGTCTTTGTAACTCAAACCCCAGAGAAAATTTTGAATCATGCCTGCATTAGTCTATGCAGGTTATTCATGTACACGCTGTAAGCCTATAAACCCATTACATAAATTCACGCTGGGTTGCCCTCTAGAATACACAGCTTGCACAAAGAATCAGGGCTACTCCAACTACACAAAATGAATATTCTCAGGTCTATCAAAGTGATTTGAGAAGCTTAACTGGGATTCCCAGGCAGACCTAAACACTAGGATAAAAGATGCTATGGGAAGGTGTAGTGCTGTCAAAAGTTTTCATTCCTCAGACACTGTGAAATAGATAAGAATCTGCTCTAGCAGTTGTCTGCAAAGATAGCTTACTATGCAGAAACAGCCTTTGCAGTTGGATAACACTGGGTGGGAGTGTCGATCTGCTTGGGGGTAGGAAGGCCCTGCAGAGGGACCTGGAC